GGACATATTGAAAATTCATTTCAACTTGTTGCCTCCAAGAATACCTGTCCCTACAATTTAAAGAAGGAAAGAAAAAAAAACTCATAAAAGCCATAGTACAATCTAGCAGTAACCTAGGCAATTGTAAGTACTTTTCACAGTGACTGGTCCTACCATTAAAAATGACTTCTTGAACCTTGGGAACAAGTAATAATTAAAGTACCTGAAGATCATGTGACTTGAAAATCTGAAAGTTTCCGCCTCCTCTAGGTGTGGCCTTCTATTCCAGTTCCTTCCACTGCATGTAATTCAATCACCCTGGCTGACTTTAATTGTAACATCGTGGAATTCAAAGACATCACAGTTTTAACTTACTGTGCATTTCTATTCATTCTTTACAAGATTAGTTGTAGCATCAGCTCTAATAACTTCTTGATGGTTCTCTCTAAAGATACACTGCTTACAGTTAAGGCATGCTTTATGTTTTTGGACTGTGTATGGGCTTCCTGTCGATGTATAAAAAACTACCATTGAATGTGACTTAACATAAAGTTATTGTCATACCATTCGGTATTTCAGAAGTCTGACAGAGTGTTAGCTAGGCTGTGTTACCTTCTGGAGGCTCTGATTTTTCCTAAGCTTCTAAAGGCTGCCTGTATTCTTTGTCTTATGGCTGCCTTCTTCCCTTCTCAAATTCGGCACCGTTAGCCCTTTCAGACCTTTCTTACATGGCCACATCTCCTATCTTTAGAACCAGGAAATTTCTCTGCTTTAAGATTCATGTAGTTATTTTGGCTCGCTCTGGGTAATCGCTTCTATATGATTTGCACAGACATTTACTATATTATTTTATTGGATTTTTGCAGTAATCTGATGTTCTTCCTGACAGGTCTCTTATCCTTATTTTATAAATAAAGTGAAATTTAAAACACTGTCCAGTGTAGAGTGGTTGTAACCACAACTTGTCTTTCTTAATTTAGAGATAATAGACTTTCCATTATATCTTGCTATGTTATGACATTTAAAGTCAGAACTTTGTGGAAAATTAAATTAGTATAAAAACTCATTTCTGGTCATGTCTTATTTTTTCTGTGTGAGAAATTCTTGGTTCAGCCAGGATAACCATGGTTTTTATAACTCAGGTTTTTATTGGGATCAGAAGCAAAAGGTTGGCTCAAACCATGAACATTGCCTCACAATGATTACCTGATTTTTCTAAAATCAGTGACATGCTGGTAAATCTTGGTTTTTAAATCTCTGCTGCATTGTTGGAGATGGAAATGGAAATACCTTTCTCGGTGTAATACCAAAACAGTGGTATTCTTTCCACCATGTGGAAACATTTATTTCATCCTACATTGCTTTATTATGATACCTGAACTCTCATTTTAAATAATTCAGAAGTTATATCATAACTTCTGAGTTAAGGGAAGTTCCTATATTAGCAGTAGAATCTCTTATTCAAAACAACAAAATTAAATAAGAAAACTCATATAAGAATGTTTTTCTTGCTGTCAAAAGGAGACAAGCAACAAACAAGGAGCTGGTGTCTCTGATGATTTAAAAAAGCAACTCATTGACAGGTAGAAAATAAGTTCAATCTATCACACTACTTCTTAGAACATTTTGGGAGTAACTGATACGAAATGGTTCAGAGGATGTGAAAGGTTTTTAAATATCTTCCATGTCATTTAAAAGCATTTCAGGATAATCGAGATAATTATACCCTTAAATCAATTTTTTTCATTCTCACAGACAGAGTAAGTTACTGTCATAGTCACTTTTCTCTCATTACTGAAACAAAATACCCAACTCCCGATGTTAAAGGGAAAAAAATTTATTTAGCTCACTGTTTGTAAAGGTTTCAGTCCATAAGTGGCTGGCTCCAAGGCAGGGTGTCATGGAAGGAACACAGTGGAGAAATAGTTCATGGTAGGCAGATAGTAAAGAAACAAGGGTCAACCACAGCTCTTTCTGTCCCTTCCATTGTATCCAGACTACTTCGGGTGGGCGGCTCTCACACCCTTCATCCTCGTGCCCTTGATCCCAGCATTGCGCTGTGAATCAGTCCCAGCATCACACACTCTAGATCCAGTCACTTCTCAAAAAGCCCCACCAATGACTGCATGAGGCTTTTGGGGGACATCTAGACACAGCCATAACAATATAAATATACATGCATGCTTATGTGGATGTGCTTATTATGGTGATTTATTCAACTATTACACTATTGAGAGCATCTCATTATTTACTTGGTTTAAATTAATGAGACAACTGGAGTGATAGCTCTGTTGTTATAAGTGTTTTTATAAAAACCATTTAGAACATCAACTCTATCACCCACTTATTCATAGCTATGCTATCCAGTAAATGGACTAATAAAAGATTATTTTAATTTTGAATCATCTTTAAACAAAACACTTGATTACTATTTCTAAGACTTCTCGTGAGTGCTTTAATAAAGTGATATTACTTACAGTTTCTGTTGATACAGGCAGCACCTTATGGAGAGTTGAAAAACTACTGCACTAATCATGTCACTATCATACTGATCATAATGATCACGTACATACATTTATCCAACTTCCAATCGTCAATTTCCAACTCATTAGAAACTACTTTTATTTTTGGTCATCCAGATAATGAGCAATACAGTTTATTTGTATAGAGAATATGATGATGCTAAATTATTTCCACAGTTTCCTAGGATCATAATTTCTAAGTAGCTCAGTAGCCTGTGTGTAGCAGAATGAGAACCCAGTTATTTCTTTCTTGGGCCTGTATGACAAAGTAGAAAGTTGTCTGGATGTTGCTGAGAAACATGTGTGAAGAAGACAGGATTCCAGACATACGTCCCAATTCTTCACCAGAAAGTTCTATCATTTTTCCAGCTTCGTTTCTTTAGCAGTGCCTCAGTCCTTCATTTCCTGGCACCGCAGGGCTTCTGGTCATCATGTGTCTGCTGTACGTTGTCCCTGCAGGTTGTTCCGCTTTGCAGTTCACTATTTGAGGGAACATTCTGGCTCTCCTTAGCAGTTTATAGTTTTCTTCTTTTAAAAATCCCAAAATGTGAAGCAATGCACTATGATACTCTATGTAATGCTATAGGAATAAAACATACATTAAAATAATCCGATAGTTAACATCACTAAATCAATTAATATAATTTTCTAAATGTCTCAATCACTTGGTGCATGAAAATTTTCTTCCCAATGCCACTGACATTCAGTGTTAGGTATATTATACCAAATGATAATAATAACATTAATCTAGTATCTATTATGTACCTGGGGCTATACAAATCATTTAATGTATATTACTTCATTTAATCATAAGAACATTCCCATGAAGTATGTGCTGCTGTGATTCCCAGTTTCTATGATCTTTTTAATTGTCTAGAACTCAACTACCGCAATTATATCTTCATTATTTGGTCTTTTATAGTTTGCTGAGTGATGGTAGGCTTTGAATTTTAGGAATCTATACGAATTCATGCCATTTATAATATTGTTACTTGTTAAGAGCTCTTTAGGGTGAAAAAATCCAAAAACTTCATTTCTGGCTATTTAAATGCATACAGAATCTGTTTCTCATAAATTGGATTTGGGGGATCGTTTGTCCTTTGTTATTTTTGTTTCTACTCTCCAGGGACATGGAGTTGTATAAACAGTATGGAAAACGTTCATCTTCCCACCACTTTATCTGGTTGCAGGATGACCCATTCTCTGCCCTGGACATCCACTTGAGTGATCATTTAATGCAGGAAGGGATTTTGAAATTTCTCCAAGACGACAAAAGGACACTTGTTCTTGTGACTCACAAGTTACAGTATCTGACACATGCTGACTGGGTGAGAGTTTTGTTATATTTATATTGCAGTCATATAATACTAGGACATGCTTTCTGTGAATAAAGATAATTCATTTGGCCACTTATGGTTTTTGTCACATATATGTGCTTTCTTTAGATCATAGCCATGAAAGATGGAAGTGTCCTAAGAGAAGGAACTTTGAAAGACATTCAAACCAAAGATGTCGAGCTGTATGAACACTGGAAAACACTTATGAATCGGCAAGATCAAGAATTAGAAAAGGTAGATAGATACTCAGTTCAGATACAGCAAACATGTACTGTGCAATTACTAAGAATGCTTTTAAAGAGGTATCCCATTTAATACTTGATGATATAATGGATCTCATCTCAAACTCCAAATGATTGTATTTTTGTATATCATTAATGGACAGACTACTGCGCTTTGAACCTATAAAATTCTAATGCTGTTTTTAGGTGAAGTGCTATGAGATTTTTGGAGGATTTTCATTTATATTTGCAACTGTCAGTGTATATAAAACTTAAACACACTCTTCACTGAAACATGGCATTTCTTCACTTGGTCTTATTTTTCTTCATTTATATCTTTTTTTTTTTTTCATCTGTAACATGAGAATATTTTCAGTCACTGCTTACCTGCTAAGGGTCCTGGGCAAGACAAAAGCCAAGGTGATTGTGAAGGAAGGGAAAAGCTGTGAGTTATTGGTGAATAGGGATGGAGGGGTTATGGCAGGTGGTCAGAAGAAGAAAAAAATGAGATTTTTATATGTATATAGTTTTTTAGAACCCACAAGACCTTTCATACAGTCTCACAAGCCCCTGAGAAGTAAGTACAGAAAATATTATTTCACATTTGTAGCTGAGAAAAGTGAGGCTCAGAGAGCTTGGTTAGCTTGGCTAATGTTGTACAGTAGGTTTATTCAGTGGTACCAATAAATTTGAACCCAGGTCCAGTGTAGTTGCGCTTTAATGCTGCAGCATTAAATGATATGATAACAGACTTGGAAAACAGATTGAACACAACTTATAGTTGCGAGAAGAAATTGTAAATTAAATTTGCAAATTTTTGAAATGTTTTGCTTTTGAATTTGGACTAGGACCATGTCCAGAGTTTGGTACTCTTGGATAGGACTGAACATTTTAAAAATGAAATGTTTGCATCAAGAAATTTCTTAAAGATATCAGGAGAGTAAATGCATCATTTAAGAAGGGGAAAATCTATGTTTCTATAGAGAAAAAGATAAAAAGACAAATCCTGACATGTCTCTATCTCCTATGAGTTTTATGATGATCTCAAAACAAAGCACATAAAGAAGAAAAAAAGCTGGACATAGAAAAGGCCAAATCGTAGAAACACTAAAGTTAGAATATTAAACAAAAATAGTTACAAGATACAATCCACAAGTGTGCATTTAGGAGATGTACTGTGGGAGGCTTAATCATAAACATACTGGGGATGGCTTCAAATGACATTTTTTCCAGCGCTCTAAACTCCAGGAGCAAAATAATACGACATAAGTTTAAGGAGTATAAGCTTATGGTTTTCTTAGTAAGAAGATTAGGAAAAAATAAGAGCTGTTGGCTTGATATTATAGTAATATTGCTAAGCAGGCCAAGAAGCAAGTTCATTATGTTGTATTTAGAAATAGTCATCATTTGAGATAGAGTAGCTCTATGATTTTTTTCCTCATTGAGTTCATTGGTACATTTTAGGTATATAGTACAGTTACATTCATCATTGGGATCTTGTACCTTTACATGACAGGTCTTGGTTCTTATTTTCCCCCCATGTCCCTGCCCTCCCTTACCCCCCTTCTCCCTTCGCTATTTACAAAAGCTTCATTTCCATTTTTTCAGCTCTATGATTAAAGACAGATCGCAGGTTATAAATCAACAGAGGGAGATAGGGAACGACTTAGGGTCTGATGGGGTAAATCTATTTGTGAGATGGAATGGTGGCCGGGAGAAGCCAAGATAATAGAACACCAGCCTAGAGTACCCATCTGGGGATGGAGGGAGATCTGCCCTTCAATGGAAGGTAGGCACTTGAGCTCATCAGGAGTCATCAAGAATTCCATCATGGAGATCAAGACTACTGAAAGACATTGGGATAATTTTTGCAGAAAAAAACTTTCTGTTTTGTTTGGAAGAACAGTGCATTTACCTACAAGCCAGTGCCAGTTTTTGTCTCTGGCATCTGGTAACATCTGGAGAACGTTTTTGGTGGTTAAAACTATGGCAGGAAGATGGTACCAGGACCCAGCCAGTAGGAGACGGGATGCTTCTTGGCATTCTGCAGGGGACAGGGCAGCCACCACCACAGACACTCGTGCCACCCAGATGCTAATGGTGCCGAAAATGAGAAAGCCTGTCCCGGATTCAGAGTAAATGAAGCAAAAGAGAAGGAAAAGGAGATCAAGGGACATATGGAACCTTCTGCCTCGAGGCTTTAGGCAGAACTTTCAGTTTAAGGATTAAGGAGTAAATGGAATCAAAATGAATGTGTTCAAAAGATAGTCGTGAGAACTACAAAGAAGGAGATGATGTTTTTAGCTGATTTTAAAAGTTACGGAGTGGGTAACATCAACCATTATCTTCAAAATGTTATTAAGCAAAATAAAACTAGCTTCATCAGATGCTTCCCACTTCTCTGCCCATGACCCCACTTTGGCTTGGCACACTAAATATTTACTGGATAAATGAAGCTAAATTTGTATTTACTTAACCCAAACACCAACACAATTCAAAATCGTGAACCTGTAATGAGCTTCACTGGAGCATTTTACCCCTAAGACAATTATCTTTAAATTTTTTTGTGATGTTTTGTTTTCAAGTCTCCAAAATAAATCTAATGCTCCAACATAATGGGGAGTTGAGCCAGAAGCAAACCTGCTTGGTTCAAGTTTATTTTACTCCATTGCATGATACACAAAAGATGAGCATAGCTCTTCATTTTGTGTCTTAGGTAGCCTTGTTGGAAAACATTGGTTTTCATATCAGGAGGCAAAATCAGAGGCTAATGTGAAAATGCCTTGTAAAAATGCTATTCAGGCGACATTTTGGTTTTATTCTTTTAATCAAGAATTTGGAAGTAACAGAGTCTTCTAGAACAGTAAGTCTGTCAAATCAAGTGTTATATAAGTGCCAGAAATGCTTAGATCACTGCTGATAACCTAAACTTTATTGGTTTATTGGGGTAACAAACTGCGTTTCTGCTTTTTTTAAAAAAATTTTGGCATATATATATAGAGTCTGCAGTTTACTAGATATATCCCAGAATTTGTGGGTGAGTTGACTGGATCTCAGTGTGTATTCCCTCGCAGAAGCAGGGTGATTAGTTTTCAAGTCTGGCATGAAGAACCTGGTTTAATCCACCATTTACCTGAACTGCTGCTACTGACCCAGTTCTGAGAGCTGGGGAAGAGAGAGCACTGAGGTGTTGGAAGCCAGGGCAGGGAGAAAGTAAAAATGTTCCTTTATGGAGCACAGGACAAGTCTGCACCAACCCTTCAAAAACTGTTGTTGTTGCCACCTTTCCCTTCTCTTTCTATATAGTTCCCCCTCCGAGACTTTCTCTAGACACTTAAGGACCCTCCCTCCCTATGTGCTTCAAAATTGCCTGCCTTTATTCATATTCTATCTATCAGAATCCTCCTGTGTAGCTCCCTCAGTGAGATGCAGAAGAAATCATTTCCATCTAATAATTCGTCACACCAGTAGATGGATGTTAGTTTTACTAACTCAGAACTAAATGTATTTTTAAAGGAAGATACTTAATAACATAAATGAATCCTTGGAAAAATCACAGTGTTTGAAACTGATATAAAGATCGCATGAGTAGCAGTGGTGGAGGGATGCTTTAGAGGTAAGGCAGTTACTTTTCCTTCCCTCGGTGGATTCCAGCACTTTGTCATGGATTTTCCTGGCCTCCCACTGCCTTCTACCTCTGAACACCAAAATATTTCCTACAAACATAAGACTGCTCATTACTGCTTTTGGGATAAGATTGCTAGGTTTGAATTGAAGGGTGAGCAGAGAGCCCACGAGACTGATTTAAAACCATTGGGGCCCAGGGGTTTAGCTCAGTGGTTCTGCCACCTGCTTCGCAAGTGCAGGGACCTGAGTTCGATCCCCGGTACTAAAAAATAAATAAAAAAATAAAACCGTTGGTATGTGTAAGAGTAAGTTGATCCCTTCTTCCCGCTGGAGCTGATTGAATGATAGCACAATGTTCACTGTAGGATATGGAAGCCGACCAAACAACCTTAGAGAGGAAAACTCTCCGAAGAGCCATGTATTCCAGAGAGGCCAAAGCCCAAATGGAAGATGAAGACGAAGGTAGATCTTTTCTTGTACCTGAACCATTCAAATGGGGTAACAGACTGTAAGGATTTTATCTTGTCAGTTGATATGTGAACGTCTTAGTGAGAAGTAATAAGTCGCCGTGAAGGGGAAAGTGCTAAATCAGTGCCTAACATGAAAACAAAAAGAATAGGAGGCCAGGAAAGATATAAGTCATGCATTGGTGGGCAATAAGAGGGGCTCCACATAGTGTGTCTTAGTGCGTTTGTACCATGTGTGACACAGAATTGAAAGGAAAAGTCTGGGTCTGACAATGCATCTAGAACACTTGGGAAGGCCTAGGGTAGTGATCGAATCAAGATAGTAGTAAAATGAAGGTCCTTCAGAGATAAGTGGGAAATACGGGACTGTGTTTTGATTCATTCAGTTAAATTCTCATGAGGACTTCACGGCAATGTAACAATAAAGGATAAGAACATCAGGGTGTTATTTATCCATTTCCAGGATTTAATATTACCAGGAAAAAACACAATCAAAATTTGAAAAAATGAGATAAAAATTATATTGGCCTTGACATTTATTGCCAAGAGATTGTAAGACATATCACCACTTAATCCCTTAAAGTAAATGCATTATATGTACTTCAGTTCCTTTGGAGTCTTTATTTATGACTGCAGTTCTCTGAGCTAACTTAAAAATGGAGAAAGTATGATTTGAAGCTCCCATACATGAGACTTATCAAACATCAAAATGTGCTGCCTTTTAGATAATAACTATTCAGTGTTTCTGAGAATGATCATAGAGTATATGAATGAATGAATCAACCAATGAACAATACATTTTGCATTTCAGTTTCTAAGATTGAAAAGGGGTTTTAAAGAATTTTTGGTTCTGTAAGTCATCAGCTTCTGGAATTCCAAACCAGTTATCTTTAATGCACTCTAAACACAGAGTCATACCCAATGATTTTGTCCGGTGTTCCTGTGGAAAGTACATCACAGGAGATCTGTGGAGAGGCTGACTCTGCTCTGGGCTTGTGTTTTCCCAGATGTAAAATGGTAATACTTCTTTTACAGAGGCAAAGGGGATACTATGCATTAAGTTGCAATACATACTACCTACTAGGCTGCTACTCCAGGTTCTGCCACTACATCTGTTCAAGCCACCAAGAGAGGAGGAAGGAAAAGAACAGGCATCTTGCTTCCCCTGAAGGCATCTGAGGCTGTACATATTGTTTCTACTCACCATTAGCCCGTTCATTGCCTGGACAGATTAGGAACTGGGAAAGTGTGCAGAAGTGGTCTTAGCTGTGCCAACTTGGGCAGCTTGACACTGAAGCAGAGCCTGCATACTGGGGAGGCAGCTAGCAGTCTTCAAGGGTTCACCTTTTGGGTGATGCAAATTTCTACTCCTGTCCTCGCACAGAGAACACCTTCCCACTAAAGGAGGAGCCATCCAGGACCTAGTAATTTATTTCATCCATGCTCAGTGATTTCCATCCTATCATATTTGCATCTCCCTTTTCTGATGACCTGTGGATAAAAGATGAGCCATCTGCCTTTCCATATCCGGTCCCTGCAGAGGAGTATGTTCTGCATGAGATAAGTGGAATGGAAGCTGTCTTTGGAGAAGAAAAGGATGGAAAACATGCCTCAGTCACTGGGCGGCACAAACGAGCAAGCTTTGCGAAGCTTCCCTGCCTTAGCAGTGGAGGACGTTCTATTCCGGGTGTCGTTTTATAACTTCAGGAATGTGTAGGTCAAAAGCTGTAGCTGTTCCCAGACCAGATCCATAGTTTTATTAATAATCCCTTCAGTAATTTAATAAACGTGTTCCTGGTCCATACCTCCAGTCAGTTTGATCTGGGAGACAAATGGTATTAGCCAGACCCAGATTTTATGTTTGTTTAATCATTTATGCAATCATTCATTCTTTACCTATTTTCAAACAAAACAAAACTATGAGGTTTAGCTTTAGCTTGTGGCTTTTTGCATGTTTTTGTATGACAATAAAAATTATATCTTCCTCATGCCCACCTGAAGCTCACACAGATGTTTGTCTGTTGCTTGCTTGTTTGTTTTGGCATGTGTGTAGAGGAAGAAGAGGAGGAAGACGAAGATGATGACATGTCGACTGTGATGAGGCTCAGGACTAAAATGCCATGGAAAACCTGTTGGTGGTACCTTACTTCTGGAGGATTCTTCTTACTCTTCTTGATGATTTTCTCTAAGCTTCTGAAACATTCAGTTATTGTAGCTATCGACTATTGGCTGGCTACATGGACATCCGAGTACAGTATAAACAATACCGGAAAAACTGACCAGGTACTGTGCATTCAGTTCTGCTTGTACTTCATCAAGAAATTATTGAGAGGAGCCGGGCATGGTGGCACACGCCTGTAATCCCAGCACTTGGGAGGCTGAGGCAGGAGGATCACTGTGAGTTTGAGACCAACCTGGGCTACAGAGTGAGTTCCAGTTCAACTACATAGTGAGACCCTGTCTCAAAAAAAAAAAAAATTATTGAGATGAACAGTGACACCACCTTAGGCACTAAAAGCCCAAATGTCAGAGGATGATGGTTCGAAAACTTGACAATGAGTAGAGGGCTTGGAATAGAATAAACTGTCAAGAGCATAAAAAAATGACATCTATTATTATTGCTTGTATTTTTAGAGATTATCATAAGAAACATTTGAAGATGCTGTTTGGATTTAGATTCAAGAGAGTTCTGTACACAGCATTTTTAAATGTATCCTGTGTATGCCCTACACATGCATACGAGGACTTTTTGGTTGTTGTTTTGGTGGTATTTGATTTTTAATGCCCCATTGTGAGGTTATCAGCTGGTCATTCTGTGATTAGGGATGGAAAGAACGTGTCCCATAAGGAAGAAAACCCAGAATTCACCCAAACCTTAACACAAGATTTATCCCTTCATCCTTCATCTCCCGGGAAAATCTTGAAAGGAAGAACAGGAAGCTGGCAGGGGTTGGCCTGGGGGATCATAGTGGGGATTCTGCTCTGGGTCTCCAAATCCTGCACACCTCCAACTGTCTAAATGTATGCAAGATAAGGAAGTCACCAACCTTGTCTTAACGTGATGTTTGGTTTTCTTATTTAAAAAACCTCAGTTGTTAATGACCTGTGAACATTTCCTGTTGCTTGCTGTGTAGACCTTCTATGTGGCTGTATTTAGCATCCTGTGCGGAGCAGGTATTTTTCTTTGTCTCGTCACATCTCTCACTGTAGAATGGATGGGTCTCACAGCTGCCAAAAATCTTCACCACAATCTTCTCAAGAAAATCATTCTTGGACCCATAAGGTAAAAACAGTAGTTATTTCTTTCTCCCACACCCCAAATCGTAAAAACATGTACTTTAAGATCTAACTAAAAAGGGAAGCTTTGAAGAGTTTTTCGGTCTTTGATCACACGAAGTAGGGAAGACTTCTTATTTTCATGACTCTAGATGTTCCCTAGCAGGGCTCGGACTGCAGATAGTTTAGTGTTATCTCAAACTTTAATCTGTTTCTTGCTTAGGTTTTTCGATACCACACCCCTGGGGCTAATTCTCAACCGCTTTTCAGCAGATACTAATATCATTGACCAGGTGAGTACCAGAGTTACTTTCCAGCTCAGAAATACGCTTCTCAGGGTAAGCTAAGCAGCATTTTTAGATAACAGATGATTGTTCTTAACTGTAGAGACTTGCCAAAATTTAAAATAAGGCCAATTTATATTCATCTGCAAACATACAAGTGATTTGTAGAGTAAAATCTTAAAACCTTAGCTCAAACTAATATGGGCACATAGTAGAGGGTGCTGAAGAGTGGGTATGAGATAAAGAGAAACAGCAAAGCGCAAAGCAGCATCAAGTTTTTTTTATTATAGAGCAATGATTCCCATCAGTGGTGCTCACCCATTCATGGTGTCAAGTTCTTAAGAATCTGATATTCATGCAGGTTGTCTTCCAGAAGGGGAGAGATGCCAGGCCACCTCAGATGGTCTTTAATTTTAACAGACTGGCTTTTGAAACTTTAGATGGCCTGATATTTTAGGGACTACCCCAAGAATGTCCCGTTTAGCAGTTTCATCTGAGATGTTTACATCCCCAGAAGTGTGTCCTGAAACTGAAAACATTAAACTCTTGTTTTTTAAAAAAATTAATTACTTTATGAGCAGAACCCTTAGAGTGATTGAGAAAGGGATCCGTGAAATCTAGCCCTTGCCTTTTGTGACACTCCAAAGCGAACAGTTATCCCTGATTTAGACAGACTGCTTCATGCATACAGTGGACTAAAAAGAGTGCTGAAAATTTTTGATGCTTTCATGGCATTGGTGCTAGGCCATGCTGCACCTAAAACACTGCATACAGAATACATGTTAGAAAAAGAGAGAGCAAGCAGGTATCTGTAGAAGGTGAAATGATTGTTTCCTAGAAAATTCAAAACAGTAAAGCAAACAACTAGAAAGTTCAGAACAGTATCTGGGTAAGACGTATTATATGAAAATTGGCACCCATGTCTACACTCATTTAAAAACTTACCAAGAAACAAATTTCATTTATATTAAAATAAAAACTACAAAAACAGAAATAACCTAATATGAAGAAAGATGTCCAATAAAACCAGAAATCATAAAAATTCTCTCAATGTATTGAGTTTCTCATCCAAATATTTTTTAAATACTATAAAATTATAATACTGCCTTTATCACAGAAAACAAATTGAGCAAAAGAACAGAATAGAGAATTTTTAAACATTAGCATGTACAGAACTTTATCAAAGATACTTCATCTTCAATCAGTAAGAAAATAATTAATTTTCGATAAATGTTACTGAGACAACCATCCACAAGATACAAAACAAATACATATAGAATAAAGATGGCATATAAAACCATAAAATTACAAAGTATAGGCGAATACTTTCATACTCTTGGAGTGCAAAAGATGTCTTTAAGCAAGATCAATAACTCAGAAACAATAAAGAGGCCAATAGAAATGACTACAAAAAGTTTAAAAATTTTACTGAACTAAAAGCAGCAAAGGCAAATTCAAAGTGTAAAAGATAACCAATCAAATTAAACCATTCAAAGGATATAAAACAAGCAATTACAGAAAAATAAATGTCTTACTGTAGAGCGATAGCTAAATAAAAAATTTTAAAATGCTATGATTCCATTAACAAATAGATGTATATACACAGACAATGGAAGATTTACCATTCATATTATTCAGTAAATTAAAGCAAGCAATGCATAGCTAAGATTTATAGAATAGTGGTACTTAGGTAATGCCAAGATAAATGAGTATATAAATCATCAGTGGTATACAGATGGATAATAGATATACTAAGCAATAGGGAGTGAGTAAAGAATTGCTCACAATGAATATTTATGTGTACTACTTTTGTGGCCAATGTTGCATTTGAGCTAAAATCTCTTTTCTTTCAAAACTCCTCTGGATAGCACATCCCTCCGACTCTGGAATCACTAACCCGCTCTACGCTGCTCTGCCTGTCTGCTATAGGGATGATCTCCTACGCCACTCCTGTGTTCCTGGTTGCTCTTGTGCCTCTTGGTGTTGCTTTTTATTTCATCCAAAAATACTTCCGAGTTGCCTCTAAGTAAGTCAAACAGTGGTCTCGTATTTTCAAAGACCTATATACTTGATTTACTGTGAACTATTTTTTGCAGGGGTCTTTTTATCAAAATAAGCTGTGGGATTTAGAAGTGTAACCCATGCTGAAGCCTATACTGGTCTTAGAGTCATCTGAAGACCTACTGTAATTGTTTCTGCCATTGGTTATCGGAGCCTTATGTGGCCCTCAGCATACACTAATGTATGAGATGGTCTACTGGGTTCTGAATCCACAAATTTTGTCCAACTTTTCATGCCCTGGTTCTTCTGCTGAACATGACATTGCCATAACACAAAATCAAACAGCCCTGATAAATAAGCGATTTAATATTATATGGGGGGTTTAAAACATTAAATCCTTAAGATACACGGTGTGAAATATTAGAAGTAACAAAGATTCAAGAGTTAAATCGATGACTTAAAAAGCAGATAATGTTGAATGAGAAGCTATAATGTTTAAAGACTGGAAAGTTTTCAGATTGGATCATTTGATATGCATTTGGGCATCCAGCCAGATAAATAAAGGGCAGCTATGAATTTTAGAATTTTCCATCAATTATAGGATTTATCATTTGCTGAGATACTGAGTAGTTAATGAAATATTGTGTCCACTGTTTTCAAATTTCCAGTCTAACTTTGAAGCTCTGGTATCAATAGTACAGTACATTTTGTTGTTGCAGGAATCACTGTATTTCATTCAACACTTGTGAAGCACTTTTGTGTTGCAAATAACTTAACCCATTTGGTAGAAATGAGGAGAGCGAAGTGGCAAAAACCTATTCTCAAAGAAAGTTGGGCTCTTGTTAAAAGAAAACACACAGATCGTTATGTGGATGAAGTGCTCACATAGAAGACAGATGTTGGGTTTATTCCGGAAATGGAAAATGTTTAATATGACTTGAGCTTAGAGAAGCGGAAGGAAGGTGGCGGCAGGTGAGAGGAAAAGGGAAGGGGCTGTGGTTGGAAGGCGCAGGTACGTAACGTTTCATAGCTTAAACAGTAGTGCTGTTTCTCCTTCGAAGTTACGAATCAGCCTGCAAGCCTCAGGAATCCACACGAAATCAAGAGTCTTTATCATCCCAGCATCATCTTCTCTGCCTCAATTCAGACCAAAAGAGAAAAGCTAGTTATGGCTTTTGATGTTTTTGCTGATGCTGCCTGCCTACGGCCCAAGAAGTTCAGGCTTATCGCATGACTGCTTATTTTATGATTCCATTTTTTAATGTCTCCTTGCTTTCTCACCACTAATATCAAACAGTCCTGTCTAAATTCAACCACATACTCCTTCGAGTTTATTTTTGCCATTGAAAAGCACATATTGATTGCAAAAGTTAGGCAAACATTCCTAGCCCGCTACACTTGTTCATGATCGATGAGAATAATGTTTGCATTGAAAGTGCAATAACAAGGCCGTGCTCATTTTTTAACAATTAATGTGATAATGAATCAAACAACTATCCTTTTATCCAATGGAGAGAGAGGGGAGAAAGGGGACGGGAAAAGAGAGTACGAAGGATAAAGATTCAATATGCACATGTACCAACTCCCTACCACGAATATATTTGTTATCTATCTCAAATATGTACGGATAGAAAATGAAGTCTTTGAAAGAAAGAAAAAATGACAAGAGGGTTCTTCTGGAAACTGAGGCTCTTCAGGGGTCATCCCATGTGGAAATGTTTCAGTAGAGTTTTAAGGGTGCTGTAGGCCCTTCCAGACTCTTATTGTCCCGAACAAAGAATTAAACAGCAAATGGTGTGGTGTAGTTTTACATTTATTGAAGGCGTTAAAGGGAATAAAAGGAGGAGATGAACTTCTCTGCAGTTATTCAAGTTGGAACAGAAATATGGTCTGCATGCAGAATGGGCCATCAAGACAGGCGGTGGCCATCAGGCCAATGGCCACCATCTTTTATGACCCAGTTCTGAAGGCAGATCTTGCTGTCCTGTCAAAAACCTGCTCCCTCTTGTGTCGGAAGCACTGAAGATAGCATTCTCTGACTGGCAGCAGGAGCAGGTAGGCTGCTCTGCACAAGTGTCCTGAGTCTGCCTGCTGGAGACATCAAGCCGCTGGCCCAGCCGCTTGGCCACGTCTTAATCTCTGGCCTCAGAAAGACACAGCCAACGGAACAGACTTCTCTCTCCTGATGGTGGTCCTGAGGATCAAACCCAAGGCTATCTCACCCAACTGTGTCTTTACCACCACCCCGCCTTTGTTTATTTTGAGACAGACTCTCTCTAAATTGCCAAAGTGGAATTGCCAAAGCAGTCCTCCTGCCACAGCCTCCCAAGTGCTGGGATTCCAGGTGTGTGCTGTGGTATCTTCCTAAAATACGGTCCCACACCTCCTCTGTTTGTTCTTTCTGTGGTGCTGAGGATTGAACACGGGGCCTATGAGCCTGGTAGCTACATCCCAGCCCTGAGTAGGCTATTTTCATATATATATCAAAGAGAGTTTAAGCAGGGAACTGAGCTGCAGGAAATGGCATTCAGTTTTGAATATCTCCATTCCGAGGTCTAGGGAGTGGTTAGCTCTGTGTTTGCTTCTTACAAGAATAAGCCCTTCTCTCTTAGGTTTCACAAAATTCTGTTCCATAGACAAAGTTGCTCCTTCCTAAGTTTCTTTTTCACTACTAGCCTTCACTAGTAACCTTTTCTTTATCATCCCAGCCTCATCAGATACCAACTGCCACTTGGTTTTATCTTTAAAAATAAGAGACTAGCTGGGCGTGGTAACGCATGCCTGTAATCCCAGCACTCGGGAGGCTGAGGCAGGAGGATCGCTGTGAGTTCAAGACCAGCCTGGGCTGCATAGTGAGTTCCAGGCCAGTCTCAACTGCATAGTAAGAACCTGTCTCAAAAAAAAAAAAAAAAAAGAGAGAAAGAGACTATTTATGTTCCTTCATTTTTATTCTTCCCCTTTCCTGTCTTTCCCTCCCCTGTTTGCAGCTTTTAAAGTGAGCAAGTCTGCTTTAGAAACTCCAAATTGAAACAGGTCTGCTGATACAGGCCTGTAATCCCAGAACTCTGGGAGATAGAGGTAGGAGGCTAACTTCCTGCCTAACCCAGATCATTTAGCAAGCCTCTGTCTCAAAGGAAGAAGTAAAAAAATGATCTGGGGATGTAGCTCAGTGCAAACGGCATGGGTTCAATCCCAGTTCAAAAAAATAAATAAAACATGAAAATCACCCTGAAAAGCCTTTGTATTTGTCTGTGGGCCAAGAATGATGGTTGATCACAGAGGATTTGATTGCGGAGGATTGCAGACCAGTGTCTATCAGTTCAGCTGACCCTTGCAGGTGAGCAACGATGTTGCTTTTCTAATTCCTCAACCCGGGAGACCTAAAAAAGAGCCCAAAAATGATAGAAAAGGAAAAGGAGAAGGGCTTTGAAAGAAGTGGCCCCACTTCTGTCTTCTAGACATGCTAGCTTGTGAGATTTAAAGAAAATTTATCGTGACTATGCACCATCCTGAAAAGGGTCAGATTCAGGCATTTCCGCTCACTGAGTATTTTATATACATGTGCACGTATGGTGTATGTTATGTGTATGCACACAGACGCACATACACAGGTATGTTCTTCAGAGGGGTTGTGAATGGAAGTCCCATGAAGGCAGGGACATTATGTCCAAAGCCAGTCTCATTATTGTTTCTCTCCAATTAGCTTCCTCTGTGTCCTCCGCCCTGATAAATAGCACTATTTTTTTTTTTCTCCCTGCGGTGGTGAGGATTGAACTCAGGGCCTCACATGTGCTAGGCAAGAGCTCTGCCATTAGACTCCACTCTCAGCTCAATGCTTTAGTTTTTGATAGTCTGCTAAACTAACAACAGCCGAGCCATGTTTGACTCCCATTTTATTTAGTCTTCTATAGCAAATCCATCATTGCATCTTATAGGCTACCCATAGTAGACTGTGTTGAAATCCATGCTTCTCCCTTATTTTATTTATTTATTTATTTGGTTTTTTGAGACAGGGTCTCACTATGTAGTTGAGACTGACCTGGAGCTCACTATTTTGCCCAGGCTGGTTTTGAACTCACAGCGATCCTCCTGCCTCAGCCTCCCGAGTGCTGGGATTATAGGCGAGTGCCACCATGCCCGGTTCCTCCCTTATTTTAAATGTGACTAACATCACACTAATTCAGAACTGTAAACACCTTCCTACATAGGCTATTGTAACTATTCTCTACTCCACCATTTTCATTGATTTTCTCCCAAGTTATCTCAATGAAGCACAGCTTTGATTATTTTATTTCTAGTCTCCAGTGATTTTTTTTCCCAGCCCATTAAGAACAGTCCATAGGCCAGTTCCATGCTTACAAAGACACATCTTTTATAGAACCATTTCCTGCCCTTACAGGATCCTGGGCCCCTGCCCACACTGAACTTGCCAAGTTCTTCAAACTGCTGTGCTTTTTCCCTTCTTATTCCGTGAGCTAAAATTCACTTCTGGTCTATTTCTTTGAAGTCCTCATCATGCTTACGGTTTTGCCTAAAGTTCACCTGCCCAAAGAACATGCTACAAATTTCCTAGTATGAATTAACTGCTCAGTCCCTGTGTCCACGTAGCAATTTATTTTAGCTGGTACACAAAACTGAGAGTCTTGTACAACACTTTAGGTTCAGCTTACGCCTATGTTCATTATGCACCCATCTTCTTCTTCTTCTTTAGAATATAAGAATATAAGCTGTTGAAGTTTTTGTTAATGGAGTACTAGGGGAAGATAGTTATGATAACAAATACAAATCCAATGCCAAAATAACCTTAATGTAGAGTGAAGAACAGGGTGATCTTTGAGCCTGGAGCGTGGAAGCCTATTTTTGCCCTTCTCTCTGTCCTAGGGACCTCCAGGAACTCGATGATAGTACCCAGCTCCCTCTGCTTTGCCATTTCTCAGAAACAGCTGAAGGACTCACCACCATCCGGGCCTTCAGGTGAGTGAGCGTGCTTTCACATTGCTGCTTAAGTCATTACATCACCAACAAACGCTTATCAACAAATGTTAGATAATTGCTACCAGTATGTGGACGGCCACCATGTGCCTGACAGTGAACTAAAGCAGGACCAAGAAGAATGTCGTATAAATGATCAGAGTCAGAGTTTGATTTTCTGAAATTTCAAGAAGAATAAAGAACAGATGAGGCAACACATTGGAAAGGTACTAGCTGTGTGACTTGGACAAGGTTTGTTACCGTCCCTGGCCTGTTTCCTCATCTACGAAATGTGGAAATCAATCGTGCTTCAATCTAATAATCCAGTAATCATTGGATTATTTATGCAGTGATGTAAAGCATTACCATCGTTGACTATTTTTATTTTTGGTTTTGGTTTTGGTTCCGGGGATCGAACTTGGGACTTTGTGCACTTGTGAAGCAGGCGGCAGAACCACTGAGCTAAATCCCTGGCCCAACACCATTAACTATTGAAGAAGTATCCAGTAAACAAAGCTACACTCAATGTATAAATAAGTAATCATCAAAATCTTAACAATATTTGTAAACAGAGTGATAATCTAAGCCTCTGATGAAGAATGTTTACTTTTTTCTCAAAATATTACCGAGCCCTGGGCTGGGGATTTAGCTCAGTGGTTCCACCTCCTGCCTCGCAAAGGGCAAGGTCCCGAGTTCGATCCATAGTACGTCTTGTTCAAATCAGATCAGAGAAAAAGGTGGCATCACTCACGTGGTCTAGAAAATTGGTATTTTTAAAGTGCTGTGCCTTTCTACAGCCCTGATTGGAAATATATATATTGATTTCAATGGGGGATTTTTTTCTAACCTAAGAAATTTTTTTCAAAAGTAGACTTGGGTCACAGAGTAGTATACACAACTATCCACAACCTTGTGTATCAGGGAATTTAGATTTATACTCTACTAGTAGCCAGCAGTAATCCTTAGTAAATACATCATATTAATGATTACTTTTTTTACAAACAAGTCCTTCCAAGTTAATTTATTTCAGTAATGTTTATTTGAATATTAAATTTATGCCAAGTACTGGTCTTGCTGTAGAAAAAGATTGACACGACATGGCCTTTCGTTTCCACCTCAGCTAAAGGTGGTGCTCTTTGCCCCCACCTCACCTTTCATGTTATCCTATTTATTTTTCTTGAGGTGTTTATCTGAAAAATATTTTTAAAATGGATTACATGTTTATTATCCATCCCTTTGACTAGAGTGTAAGCTTGGTAAGAGCAAGCCTTCTGCACCCTATGCACAGGTAAAACATCTGCTACTGCATTAAGTGCTTAAGAAACTAATATTGACTGACTGGTGAGCATAGGCTCCATCCTAAGGGGCTCCCAGCCTAGTAGAACCGAATACTTAAGGGAGAAAAAGCGATACAGAAGATACGTAATCTATAGAAGATACAGAAGTTATGTAATCTAATCCGTGTACCCTAAGAAACAAGACTTTCAGAGAGCAGGGCAGCACCTACAACAGCATAAGGAGATAATTATTGAACAGTAAGTCTTTGAAGAATAGTTCACCTTGTGGGCAAAGGGGATGAGGTATTCAAAGCAGAGGTCATGGGAGTGCAAAAGCATGCAGATTGCTATTTTATGTAGAAATCAATTTTGCTGGAGCACAGAGTAAGTAAAGAGGACGGCTATCAGAACGAAAACATAAACTGAGGTACAGAAAGGGTATTCAGTGGGTACTGCTAAGGATCTCAGACCGTATTCTTTCCATGTCAGGGAGTTACTGTCTCAGTCCCTCTCTCATCAGGGACACAGTACCCGACCCGATCCCCACCATTTAAGTGAAGAGAGCATTGTTATTTTTTTTTTAAAAGAGGATCCAGTCCATAGTCAGCTGGCTCCAAGGCATGAAGGACGCGGTGGACGGAGGAAAGCTGCTCACCTTATAGAGAAAGTGAAGGGAGGAGCTGGGGGAGGGAAGGAGATATAAACCCCCAGGATGTGCCACCAGTGAGCCACCTCTTCTGAGCAGACCCCCACCTCCTACCAGCCCATTCGGCTCTGAACTCTTCAGTGAACTTATCCGCAGATGAGTACAGCACCTGCATGGTCCAGTTACTTTTCAAAAGCCCCATAATTGTCGTGTTCATTAATTTATTAATTAATGGAACATAACAGTCTTTTGGGGGGACATTCTAGATATAAACTGTAACACTCACTGAAGGATTTTAAGAGGAAAATGACAGGGTCATGTTTATTCAATAACCCTGATTTACCACGAGAAATGAATTAGGAATGATTAGGGACAAAGGCAGGAAGATGCCAAGAAGCTATTGCAGATAATCCAGTGAGACAGGGCAAAGCCACCTGAAGCAGGTACTCAGGATGTGGAAGGAAAGTGCAGGTTTTAGAAACAGAAGGGTCTGGGAAGTGGAACCAGTGAGATTTAGGGATGGATTGTGAGGTGCAGGGTTGAGGGGGAAATTGAGGATGATCCCGCCTCAATTTTCATGAGTGAGTAGTTTTCCAAGTTGCCACATTGAAGGTATTGTGAAGGACGGGAGAAGGAGAATATGAATTTGGCTGTGAGCAGGCAGATGCGAGCTGCCGATGTGACGCACAGCTGGAGATTTTTGTGGTCAGTGGCACACGGAAGTCTGGTGTTTAGAAGATATCTCAAGCCAAAACATCACAGGTTTGGCTATCATTCTCTTAACAGATATTATTTAAAGTTTTGGCTATGGATTCGATTGTCAGAGGAGTATGTGTTGACTAAGAAAAGCTCTGTTATGATCTTCTGACCACCAACACTCAAGGAACCATGGACAAAAGGATCTCGTAGAAAATACAATCTGTCAAACAATTAGTACAAGGCTGGCCCTCAGGTTCCCGCTTCAGAGTGAGACAGACTTTATGACCTGTTCCTCCCAAGCTCCTTTTATGTTTGGCTCCCGGTGCTTCTCTCATTGCTGGGAGATTAGCCTGTAGTTATTGTCTACTGTGGAAAGCCTTCCCTGGAACCAGAATGTGCTTTACATGCTGCCTTAGATCTCCACACTAACTTGTAAACTTACCGCACCATACCAAAAGCATCTGTTGCTGTGTTTACATTGCTCTACAAGAACTAGCAATGTGTCTTTTATTGTTTTATCTTCAGAGTCTTACTGTGAGAATCAGCACATACTAGATGCTTAAATGTTATATGAATAAATTAAAGAGTACTATTGCTTCCTGTTGATGTATCTATCTTTGCTTCAACTTCCATCGACTTCCAGCCCTCTTCGTCAACATCCTCAGAAAGGGAATGGGCTGATCTTCTCCCTTGTCATGGCTTCGATTTTCCAACTACTGGTGCCTCCTGGTCCTGGCCAAACCCCACACAGGCCAGGCTGGTGCTGTCAAATCCCAACTAACACCGCTCTGCTGAAGGAGGATCCAAGCCTTGGCAGCTGATCAGCTGCTGTAGCAGGCTGAGCCCTGCACAGACCAACTGTCCCGTGAGTGAGAAGTTAGCCCTGGTAAAGATCAAAATCACTGAGGGTTCCTCTTGTGTTCCTTATATTTCCAGATAGGAGAGGCTACTATCCAAGAACTTTGCCACCCTAGTGGTCACCAGAGGTGTCCACGTGGTCAGATGAAATATTTGTTAGCCCTTCATCCAAATTGACATCTAATGAGTAAACATTCACCTCTAATAGCGCTGCCCAGGTCAAGGAAAAATCTAGAAGGTGTGAATGTTGTACTTATATTTGATCCATATGTACTGGAAGTAACATTTTTTAATGGGCCTTAATGTAGACTTATCTTCTTCCTAAGACTACAATGATGTAATAGGACCAAATAGCATCACTTAGTAGGCCTTCCATCATTCTAGCAAGGGGAAGGAATCCAGATCAGTTAAAATAAGTCAACTAAACTATAGGCAAAGACTCAAGATAGTGGTAGGAGTTAATGTTTGAACAATTAAAAGTTAAAAATATACTAGTTGTGTGACTTAGACAAGGACAGTGTCAATGAAGTTGAAGAAGGCAGTATTTTAAGAAGAAACTGAAAGGCCAGTGGTAGTTAAAACTGAAAAGGGGAATTAAAAGGGCTCTTTAGATATGGAAACCTTAAAGTGATCGGCAGCCTTAACAAGAACAAAATAGTAAAGTGGAAGAGGATTGAAGTCATAGTTCAGAGGGTTGAAGCATCCATTGAGAATCAGCACATGAAGGTGGCAAGGGAAAGCTGCTCTTTCAAGAAGCACCACTGCGGTAGGAAGGGTCTTCATAGGAAGTTTTGGCTGTCTTCCTACTTTCAGTAATGATCTAGACATTTTTATAGGGGAAAGTGAAGAAGTGAAAATAAGGGAAGGATGGGAGGACAGCTGACGGCGCAGATCTTTGTATCTGGCAGGCAGAGTTATGTCCTAAGTGGAGAGACCAGCTCAACTTGAACAGGATGTAGTCCAGAGATTTCCTATGAAGATAAACAGGAATAATAAATGGGTTTCAGGTAAACATGGTGGAGCAGGAAGTTGATGGGGTCAATCTGTACGAGTTTTCATTTTTTTTCCTTCAGGGACAAAGTGAGGTCATCTGAGAGTGCTACAGAAAAACACATCTTGAAAGAATTTAGAAAGATTTAGGATTAAAGAGGAAGACCAGGTGCTGCCACCTGCCTTGCAAGCACAAGGACCCAAGTTCAATTCCCAGGACCCCCCCAAAAAGCAGGAAAATGACCAAGAATTAAGGTTCAATTTTTACTAGACACACAAGCAGAATTTAGCATTACTATTGCTAATTTTACGCTTGAAAAAAATATAGGTAGCTGTGAGAACAAAATCATGTTATCCTTCCATGCTTGAATTACAGTTGGAAGAAGCAAAGACAACCCAATATCTACCTAGAAGTATTCTGCTTATATCTAGACCCAGATTTAGATCTTGTAGAGTTCAATTAAAAAGCAGATATTAGGGCCAGGGATTTAGCTCAGTGGTTCCACCACCTGCCTCACAGGCCAAGATCCTGAGTTTGATCCCCAATACCAAAAAAAAAAAAAAAGCAGATATTACATACCAGAAGCCAGAACAAGTCTTGAAAATGTAGGGCTGTCCCTGCTGCCATGGAGAAGATTCTAGAATCTTTATATTTTGTGGGCAAGAATCAAACATGCTCTCTTCCATCCATCTGTTCCTTTCTTCCCAGCTATCCAGGTTGCCAGAGTCCAGAGCTCTTTTGGAAAGTTTATATTAACTGATTAGGCTGTTTTTCTTACCCTGGTTTTAGGGTTCATGGTGTACTCACATGAACAATGAACTCCCTCAAGTAGTTTACCACGCAAGTATCACAGTTAAATTAGACTGAGATTTCAGTGACCTTTCTTTTTTTTTCCTTTTTTTTTTTTGTCTGACAGAATAAAGGTCTAAGAATGTTCAGAAGATGAGCTGGATGTGGATGAAAAGATACAGACTGAGTGTGTCAAACTTTCCATTAGGAAAACAGAAGGTTTCTTGCCAACTAGAAACACACAGAAAGAATGTTCACTGCATTTCACCCCTCCCCTCTCAGTGCTGCTACAGATTGTCTCCTGCTCCATTTACAAGTGTTTTCAGAGCATATCAGAAAAAACACTGCATGGGTTAAAGGGAAGGGAAGAAGAGCCCCAGACAAAACACTGTCCAGATCAAGTGTTTGATATTCATCTCGAATGAGGTCCATAGGTTTTGCTCCAGTTGGCCTCCTCCCATCACCACAGTCACCACAGTCCCCTGGGGAAAGCAACTCTCAGTCTCCCTGAACATGCTCGGCTTTCCCATTCCCATGTGTGTGCTTCTGTTGTCCCTGCTACTTAGAATGCCTTGTTCTCCTGACAAATTCAGCTTATCCCTACACTCAGACCGTCTTTCCTGTCCTTTGAAAAGCCTGGCTTATCCTTCCACTCTACTCTTCTTTCACCCTATTTCTTATCATTCAGATCCTCTGATCAGTGCAAATCATCACCTTCCTGTATGACTGAGTGGCGTGTTGTGCACAGGGCTCATGATTCGATTTTATACCATACCCATGTGTTAATACTGCATTTAGATCCTTCACTAGATAGTGGCCTCTTCCAGGACAGAGAATGTGTCTTGTTCATGTGCATAGCCTCAGCCAAGCATAATGAGTCACTTACTTACACTTGATGTTTACTAAGTGTTTCTGAATAAATGGATGAAAATCTACCCAACACGTACCTAACAGATGCAGAAAGAATGAACCTATTTACAGTTCATGTCTACTGTCTCAGTAAATCCTAATCACAGTATAAAATCCCTTGCTTTCTAGTTATTCATTATATTTATCCTTAAAAGGCCCATCTAGAGGTTAAATGTGTCCTCAGGGTTTCTTAGTCAGACACCAGTGTGCTGTCATTGAGCACAGGTCCTCCTGTGCATGGCATTTAGGTCAAAGCTACATAACTCAAAGTGAAGTAATTACTTGGCTCTGATTACTGAATCCTTTGATTATTATAGATCAGATGTTGCTGTCTGCCTGAATTATCTATCTGGCTTGGCATACTGGAGTGATCAGATTGATTGGAGAGATATCAAGTATCTGCTTTATAGTGGCTTGTATGGATTGCTTTAGTAGGCCAAGGGAACACTCCACCCACGACTTCGATCTTTGATGCAAATGATGGTTTATTAAAAAGTTTTGCAATTTTACTTGAGCATGGGGGGAGGAGTGGGGTGCTCTTATCAAACAGGAATCATTACCCAGTTGTCACATGAAATTTGGCTCTTCTTTGCAAAATAAGCCATAGATGGGTTATACAAGACAAACCATGATTCCAGTGAATGAGTAAACCACATTTGATTTGGCATTTCCCCCACTTTCAGATCAGTTACTTTCCAACTTTCCATTGTTTCTGTTATTCAGGGAAAAATAATCGCAAGATGAAGAGAGCCTATTTTTGTAATTTAGAATAGTCCTTTTTTTTTTTATAATGTAGCATGAATTTCTGTGATAGTAGCTCACAAGTTCAAATAGGCAATTTCATTTATAAGATAGGGTATAGAGAATTTGGTCTGATTGTGTTGGGTATCAAGAATGATATTCAAGCTATCAGCGATCTATATCCAAAATGTGTTCATTATGGATCCCCTTCCTAACCCCAGACCAAGATCTTTTTCATGAAATGACCATCCTTACGTACAACGCGAAACGTTGGTATGTGTGTTTTCTCGAACAAGAACATTCACCACCTGCAAGGCTTCCCGTCCTCCTCTTGCCTCCCCACTTCCCTTCTTTGGTTCCCAGAAACAGCAGGCCACACAGAACTTTTTAAGTATATATTTACCTATAACAAATGCATATTTTCCTATCTTCTTACTCACTGTTTCTCACTCAACTCTTTTTCTTTCTTTCTTTAGGTCTTTTTTTTTTATTTCTTTTTTTGGCGGTTGTCAGTGGTGGGAATCGAACTTAGGACCTTGCACTTGCCAGGCAGGCATTGTGTTGCTCAGCTACATTCCCGGCCCTCACCCAACTCTTAATCATGTCATTTGGAAATGTAAAATAGATGCCCTTAAAAGAAAGTAGAATGTGTTACATTTCCTTATTACTCACTTTGGTCTTTGTGGGACCCTGGCAACATAGGTCAAAATAATTAGGTGGAAATGGATGAGGCGGTCTTTAATGAAAATTTGTCATCAGAAGAAGTCCTTTTCCTAGCAGGGGTGTGAAAGAGGAGCACACACCCAACTTCACCATGTTTATTGGGGCTGCTCAGAGCACCAGCAGCTGCTCTTTATTTTGAAGTAGGAGTCTAGTTACCGGTCATCCCACCCCATCGTTTTGCCACTTTGTCGAGTAAATTGTGTAGTAGTAAGTGTGACTGGTTTTTATTACTTCTCCTGCTGTGTGGCTAACACCATAATATTTTTGTTTTCTTCAGGCATGAAACCAGATTTAAGCAACGTATGCTGGAACTGACAGACACAAACAACATTGCCTACTTATTCCTCTCAGCTGCCAACAGATGGCTAGAGGTCAGGACGGTACGTTCATTTCACAATTTCGAAATGGAAACCAAACAGGGAAAAGGCGTAATGTAGAGGGAGACATTTGTAAAAATTAGTCTTCCACTGAGGTCAGCCCTACCCTCACATTTTCTGAACTTTCGAATAGCTCAGGTTTGTTTATGTTACAGATGAAATTTGTCATAATGTTTTAACTAATGGCAAGACAAATAGCCCCCAAAGCAAAAATTCATTCTGTGTTCATTATAGTCTCCACACTACATAAGTTAATGGATTGGCAAATATTTATATAACTTCCATTTTTTTAAAGAGCAAATTTGATGAGTTGACCAGCTGTACTTATTTCCTTCACTGAGCTGGGCGGGACTGGAAGACACAGGAACTTTCTATGTTTTAAGCCAGTGGAGCATCGTGTTAACACAAAATGTAAAAAACTGCAATTAATTATTTATTGCTTTCTTTGGTTGTGGATGATGTAAAAGACTAAGCATAAGCTCTGGAATTGCCCAGACTTGCTCTAGCAAATTCATTTGAGTCCCAGATCCTCATCCATAGAATAGAAACAAGAATATATGCTTCATGGAGGTATTGGGATTAAATATATATGTGTGTGGGGTGTGTGTGTGTGTGTGTAAATGTCCTATTATGCTGATTGGAAATGCATTTAAGTATGTCTTTCAAAAGAACAGATGAACAAATAAATGAATGGAAATACTACCTGTCCTGGTAAGTGATTTGTAAGCTAACCACCTGGTGTGTGAAGTAAGGGCAAAATGTGATAGAAGTTCTAGAAAGGAAGAAATATATTTGGCACCGTGGTCTGTAAGATCTGTAGCGTGAATAAGCTATTCTGATGGTAATCATGAATTACTGTAATTTTTTATATGGATGCCGGTCAATGGTTTTACCATTGGAAGAACTTTATCCAGACTGATTAGGTTTCCCTATCACATGCAGGGATGCTTTTAAAGCTCTACAACCCAAGGGCAGGTGATAAAGGGAATTTAATGGAGTTGAAATGGAGGTGCTCAAGTTAAAATCTGAGTGGTTGACTGGTAGATATCAATTGACTTAGAATCTTGGACGTCCTGTGAGCTTTGGTTATCATGATTTCTCGCTGACTTAAAAAGATTCCCCATTACACTAGTTACTATGTAGAAATTATTCAGTGACATTAACACAATTATATTTCACAAATTTTTTAAAGAACCATTCATTGGTTATTGAAAAGAAACTCCTATGTAGCTGAGGGTTGGATGAGGCAGAGGGGAGTTTCTCAGGAATTACAGATAATATAAAGGCAAATGAAGTTTACTGAAGATTTATAACAAAACCAAAACATTTTTCCTAGACCCTATCCAGACCACAGAGCCTTGATTTAAACATCTGTTTTATTGTTTGTGTCCTTTTAATATTGGTGTTTTTCTCTAAGGGGAAAATATGTGAATAATAGAATTGATGAAAGACTTCATGAAGGGCTTTTCTAGAGTCAAGAGAAAAATGGTAGTAGCTATCCTAGCATCTGGTTTACCTAAACTTGAAGAGCAAGAATATTTTTCAGAGGGCTGGGGATTTAGCTCAGTGGTTCCGCTGCCTACCTTGCAAGAGTTCCCAAGTTCGATCCCAGTATCAAAAAAAAAAAAAAAAAAAAAAAAAAACCACAATATTTTTCAAGGGCCAAATGTGTTTACTTTGGATAGGAGGTAGGTGTCTCACCAGGACTCCTGTTTCTGCGCTTTAGCACTTCCTACTGTCAAGTTCATGGACAAGTGCTGAACCAGAATCTTCAAGCAAACCATATGTTCCATTCTCATAGCCAGAAGATGAGATATTACAGTCTGCCAAGAAAGGGAAGGTCAGGACAAGTTAAAAGGAAACAGCAGCCAAACTCAAAGCGGTCGAGGTCGAATAATGCTTTAACTCCCACTTGAAAACGCAGTTGAACCTACCTGAACATGAAAGAATTCTGGTTCCATCTGCAGAAAGCTAAAGACAAATCTGGCATTTTATACCCAGGAAGGGCACCATCTATCCCCTATTCCAGTACTTTCGAGTACATTTGTTACTGTGTCTTCTCTTTGCTTACAGTGTATTACAATCCTGCCAATATCTGCTAAAGCAGTGTCATTACCAGAACTCTCCTTTAAAAACTAATACAAAAAAATTAGGGATTGTTCATTCCCCAGTTTGGACACTCCGAGGAAAAAAAAAATTAAAAGTATCTTTTCCTTCTGTTTCTGATAGCTAAAGGTAAATTTTGTTAAGAACCTTTCATTTATTCATTGCAGCGTTCTAGACATATCTGCTGACAAGTCAAGTCAAGGTTCTTTGTATGTGACGCGTTGCCATTTATCGAATTAACACGTCAGAAAGCATATTTCAGTAGAATGTGCATCGCCATACAGAACCTATACCCCACTTGACAATCCCAGAAACCGAAACATCAGACTGGCCAGGTTCGCTCTCATTCTCTTTTCGGTACACATGAGAGTTTTCATTAGAACCCGGTATCTTTACATATAAATGCTGTAGTCCAAGAACATGCGCCACAGTAAGAGTGCTGACCAGATTTAAGCATTTCTCTTGGGAAATAATCTTTTCTTCCTGTCGCACACATATCCGTGACCTCATCACTGCCGTGCTTCTGTGGCTGTGTCCGCATCACCCGATACATGATTTCAGTTTAAAATAACTGGATCTTGTTATGAATATGAATGTTGAGATATAGGGCCTTGGAGAGTAGGGTGTGAACGATCTCTGAAACCCCACAGCTGGACATACTCAGCTTTGTAAGTCATTTGAAAAAAAAAAAAAAAAACTAAAAACTGCAATTTCACCACTTAACCCCTACCTTTCCCTATCTTTTGCCATTTTAAACGAATTAAAACAAATACATGCTTATAGCAAGTGTTTCTAGAGTTCCCAGAACAGAAATACAATTAAAATCGTGCAAGGAAGATCACTGTGTTAGGCACACACCGGAAGAAACAAGCAGGATTTCTAGGTGCAGATCTGGAATGTTCAAAAAGACTAGTTCAAAAACTCAGAGCTGTAATGGAAAAGGGGGAAAACTTGACTTCATAGCTTCCTGTCGTTGTTTTCTCCTTTCTTTTCTCTTCATCCCAGTTCTAGCTTTCTGAGGGAATGCCACTGCTGTTGACAGTAAGCCCCAAGAGAAAGGAAGACAGGGAAACCAGATCAGAACCAGTTTACTAAATCTGGGAAGGTCTCTGGGCCCCATCCAAATTTTGCTGGTTATCATTTTTTGTTATTGTTTTGTAAATACGTAGCCCTTGCTGCCTTTCCCATTCATGTCAAGTAAGCGTCAAGACAAATCACAGTGTATTCTCTTTCTCTGGGAAAAGAATTCTCCGCCACGGAATTCAATCTTGCCTACAATATTCGTTTCATATTCATTTTGAATTGGAAAAAAATAAAGGCCATACCACACATCAGAAAAGGATAAGAGTCTAAAAAAATAAAATGGTTTGGCTGGTAGAAAGGCTCTTGGTTGTGGCCACCCAGGTTGCTTTGGCAGCTGAGGGGACTGTTTTCTCTGTGGATGCCAAGTGAAGTGGGCCGTGATCATGTGCGATGTGTCCTGCAGCCTAACCTTTGAGCGCTGCTTACGTCCTTGGGTTCCACTCAGTGCTCTCTCTTCACCCCTCTGCACTAAACAGTTCCAGTTCTTTGGCATCAGCATTTCCATTTGCAAAAATTGTGTAACTCTATCTGCAGACTGTCTTTCCAAGGCTTTGTCTGGGTGTGTGGTGAAAGGATAAAAGAAACTGCACATGGGGAAGCCAAAAGAATGAGAGAGAGAGAGAAAGGGTTGGGGGAGAGCGCTTTAGAATCATCATGTTAAAGTGAAAATAGTCTTCAGGGTGAGCTTGCACGAGAGTCTTTTTGTGTGTTCACAACTCCTCCATAGACAGGTGTGCGATGATCTTATACTTAGGAGGCCTGAGTATAATATTTTTCCCAATACTCAGCGGGACTCTGGACAGGTACTCCTGAGGAAGGCTTAGAGGGAAGAATTCGTGTGTTTTTCAGTTGCTATCAACTATGTGCAAATCTGTTTTATAGATAACTTCACATTTTCACTATAATCCCACGTGTAGATGTCGTTGCATCTCTAGGCTTCTCTTTGACATGGGAATTAAAAGGCTTCTCTTTTGGGAAGGTATTATGGCTTGTGTCTAGATGTGCCCCCAAAGGCTCATGCAGACTTATGTGGGACCTTTCAGCGGTGGCTGTGTCTAGATTGTGTGATGCTCGAAATGATTCACAGTGCAGTGCTAGGCTCAAGGGCACTCGGATTAAGGGTGTGAGTGCTGCCCACCCTAAGTAGCCTGGGTGAGATAAAAGCGGGCAGCCAGTCACTGTTAAGGTCCCTTGTTGCTTTACTCACTTGTCTGCCACTCCACCCAAAACTATACAAACAACATGTCCTATGGTTGAGCTCTCTTTGGAGGACGGAAAATTAATATACTTAGGATTGTTTTCTAAACTGAAGCTTTCATTCCACTGTAACTTTTTTTATTCTGGTACCAGGGATTGAACTCTGGACCTTACACTTGCGAGGCAGGCAGTGAAACCACTGAGCTAAATCCCCTGCCCGCCACTGTAACATTTTGACAGATATTTGTCACTGAATAGATCAGACAGGATGACGTGTGAGGTTTTAGCAGCAGAAATGCTGTTAGTAATCTGCCCTCAGTATGAGCTATTCATACCATCAGCTTCTTTCTTTACTGCCTTTAAGCCATTTTGCTGTTTGTATATTTCTAGAAAAATGGGAAGAAGTTGAAAACCAAACAGTCACTTTGCAATTCATTAAATTTGTTAACCTTAACAATAAAGGAAATGGGAAACGGGGAGCTGATAAAAGCTTTTATAGTGTAGTGGGAACCCCTGAAACATTGCCAGAAACCTCTGCAGTAGTCTCAGTCTATGACACAGGCCTGAGGGGGAAAAAAAACAAAAACTAAAAGACAAACCTGAGAGAGACAGAAAGT